AAAATCTTCAAATTAAAAGGAAAAACAAAAATACAACTGCTTGAATGTGTACATATCTTGACCTGTCTAATTAAGAATTTCCATAGTATTGTGGTGGTTAAAATTGGTTTGATACTGTTTACATTCGTCTTTGCAGTATATATGGTTATTTAAAATCTTTATCTAACCGGCTTAACAGGTGACCAGAAATGTGTTGCCTTCACAATTACTTGTGCCTTTGTTAGGACCAAAAAAGGGGCTGGAATCCTACTCCGTTCTTACATTTGTTTTAACAGCATGTGTGGTCTAGTTTGTAGTTTAGATTGGAACAGAGTTCAAAAAAAAGCAGAAGTCCAGCAAAGCATTGTGCAATATTTCCATGTTTACTGTACTGGATGCATTGGGTAAATACCCTCAATGATACTTACTATTTCATATATAAATAATGATCTCCTATTCTAGAAGGATGCTACTCAATTTTTAAGTAAATATTATAAATGGAAAAGGCAAATTGAAAAAAAGAGACACTGAATTAAACATATATTTAAGGCAAGTTTATGTATGCAGTTAACCCTTATAGCACTGTATTTGCAGGACCCAGGTCATTAATATTCCAAAATTACTAGCAATATCCTGTCTCCAACTCCTCCAAACGGGCTCACTCCACTTTCTCTATGTCTGTCCCATTCCTGTAATAAGAGACAACTGTCTTCTCTCTTTTTTTATTCTTTGCTTCCACAGCACCTCAAAGATTGAAGCACAGTAGATTACTTACAGACAGATTCATTCCAAATCCACAAATCCAGGCCACTTCACACTTCCCTTTCTCTGCTGGTTCTGTAATACTTCACCTATGACCAAGGTTGTGATGGTAATATTCTCACTTACTTTCTGGAAGAGCTGAGGCTGAGACTGCATCGATGCAAACATTTAATCCATGTGTCAGGTAACTATTTGACTCATTCCAACCTTTCAAATCCAACTATCTGTACATAAAAGATCAGAGAAATAGAGATTTTGCCCTTTCAGGAACTGGAGACAGCAATGTGCCAAGCCAGAATGCCTAAAAGAATCTATGCGTAGCTGGGATGGAGGTTCCCTGTTTCAGGGCTCACAGAATCACAGAATCTCTAGGTTGGAAGAGACCTCAAGATCATCGAGTCCAACCTCTAACCTAACACTAACAGTCCCCACTAAACCATATCCCTAAGTTCTACATCTAAACGTCTTTTGAAGACTTCCAGGGATGGTGACTCCACCACCTCCCTGGGCAGCCCGTTCCAGTGCCTAACAACGCTTTCAGTAAAGAAGTTCTTCCTAACATCTAACCTAAAACTCCCCTGGCGTAACTTTAGCCCATTCCCCCTCATCCTGTCACCAGGCACATGGGAGAACAGGCCTGCTCCAATACTAACCAGGAAATTAGAAGCCTCCAAGAAGCAGAAAAGGTTAATGTGCTGAGTATGCATGTGACTGCAAAGCAAACCTTGCAGCATGACAATACCATCAAATAACGTGGCTTTTGTCCTGACTAACAGTATCCCAATCTTCTATCCTGCATACCTGTCAGCTCATTCCCAGGCTGTCTTCTAGCAGGCAAACAGGGAACACCTCCACAGATAGCACATGCCAGAGTCCACACTACACAGACCCCTCACAGCCCTCCAATGCTACATCAGGGTACTTTGCTCTCCCAGACATTCCCAAATTGTGGCCAATGGCATGCAACACATAAGCTCAAGAACCTTGCTATAAACAAATCATTGGCATGCACTGAGTGGAAGAAGGCTGTACAGTACCACAGTGTCAAAAACAGCCCCAGGCTGACTGGCATGCAAGTGGACATGGCCAACACGATCAATCCTAGACTGCAAATATATCAGCAAATTTTAAATTATTGGCCTGAAGGACATGTGTTGGATGCCCTAAATAATGTTCACTGGACAAACATAACCTTAAAAATTTAGTCAGTATCTGACTGATCCTACAGTATGAACTACTGTAGTCTCACAAGTTATAAGCTTCAAAAAACTGGGGTGACTGTCAATCAGGACAATTATTTATTGTTGTCCCACCTCATTATTTTTCTTTCTGACTAAAGGAAGAGAGAGGAGTGATGATTATATTGGAAATCCATGCACATGCTAGTCAATGAATGACTGTTTGGATAGATTTCATACCTAATTTAGATGGCCAGCTCTGGATACCAATCTCCCAGGTAGTCCCATACAGTCAATTAAAAGCTAAGTTTCTCCAGATGTGGAGCAAGAGCCTCATTCAGGTGCCTTCACTTGTCCTTTCTTCTCCACTGAAGCAGACATTGTTTCGGAAAGCATTGTATTCCTTTCCCCCTGCAGCCTGTGCTGGGAATCTGTTAAGTCACAAGGTTTTTCTTTTGTAACTTTAGAGTGCAAAAGTTATCATTTATGGGTCTCCAAGGGTATATCAAATCCAAGAATTCAGCAGTATGTGCATATTCACTCGCCTGCACAGACTACAGTGAGTGACACCTTACTGGCCCATTTCTGCTGGATGAACGTTGGTATAGGAGCAGGACTCTTAACCTCCTGCCATGACCCCTGTGCGCTGCAATGCCAAGACTGAGAGAACTACTGACGGAGTTCGGTAAGAGGCTACCTTTCACTGACAGGCGAATCATCTGCTAGTACAGTACTTAATCAATTCGTTGAGAGGAAAGGGTGCTCTCTCGATATGGATCTCCATCAGGCACATACCGAGATATTACTAGATGCACAAACTGAAATCTTTATCAACTAATTAATTCACAGGACTCCTGCCAGACATTTGTAATAGCTGTTGTAAATCTTTTCATATCTAGAAAAGGCAGTATAATCAAATTAATGTTCTTAGAAATCATTTGAGATTAATTAACTAAATATAATTTACATCAATGTGAGCTGCTAAATTTTAGGGTCAACAACTTTTGTGCCTGTCTGATTTTCATACTTAGTTTCTAAACACTCTTGATATAGAATAGGTCAGAGAAAACGTTTTATTTTATTTTATTTTATTTAATATAAGAATGAAAAATTATGAGTTGGAAATATAATCCATTCGAAAAGGGCTTGAAATAGAATAGGGGGAAAGACATCAGGCTTAAACAAACAAACAAACAAACAAAATCCATGTTTTTAATATATCCATATTAGATACCTGATGGCTTTTCTAGCTGCCATGGTGATCCTTCATGATGGAAGACTGGCACCTGTAATAATTGAGAGAGGGTATAAAGTGCAAAACTAAATGTTTGGTGGGAAAGGATGGCAAGCAGAAAACAGCAAATTGTATTTGACATAGCAAACATATTTTACATAGGAAATATATTTTCCTATGTGGTGCTTTGTGAAAAAGAGCAAGAGTCGCCTTCCTGTTTACTTTTAGAGACACTCTGAAAACGGAAAAGCTGAATTTGACAAAACTATTTCTGAATATTCAGAAAACCTGCATCCAAGAAGAGAGGCCAGACGGTTATTTCCATAGGTTTAGTACCACAGAGGACAGGACTTCCTTCCTCCAACACAGCACTGAGCCCTGAAGCTCTTACCCCAAATGGCAGTTACAGGTAGGGACAGAATCCAAATGCTTATTAAATAAGCAGACAGACTAGCGTGTATTTAAAACATGTTAATTAATTTATTGACAAAGGATGTATAGACCTGAATGGGATCGTTTAGGATCATAGTCTAGGTGGCCACGAAGTGTGAGAAGCAGAGCGCCCAGCTACTTCACGGCAGCAATTTTGCCATTTGATGACACCACAGACAGTAAATCCCAAACTTTATCTGGGAGGCGTGTGGGACCCCTCTGCCTGCAAACCTGTCGGGGCTTCTCGCCTTGCCCTGCCTCTGCTCAGCGGGCGCAGCGCAGCGCAGCGCAGCGCGCACCCACCCCGGCTCTGCGCGCTCCAGGGAGCTCGTCCGCGCTGTCGGGAGCGCGCAGGGACCCTCCTCCCGCTCGGGCAGCCTCTCCCCAGCCACGCCAGGATGCTCGCCCGCAGCGAAGGCTCCTCTGCTCCCCCTCCTGGGAGGTCCCAAGCGCAGCCACCGCCGGGGCGCAGCGCAGCCGAGCTGGATGGGTTTTGCAGATGAAGGCAGGAGCTGGGAGGGGGCAGAGCTCAGCCCCCAGCTGTCCGCAGAGGGCAGCCCCGCTGGGACGGGCAGGCGGCTGTTCCCGCTGTGCTGCGCTGGGGAAGCTCAGAAGGCCCCTGTCCCACGCCGAGGTGCAATCCTGCCCCGTTGCAAGCCTCTCTCACGCCGTCTGCACGCCTGGAACAAATGTGCCCCCTTCCCTCCAGCACCATACCCGGCACCAGCGTGGACTGGGTGCTCTCGCAGCCTGGCAGTGCTGCAGTGCTTCACGCAGCACAGGTAATCTTCACCTGACCCGCACGAACCTACCTGCCTTCCACTAGCAGTGGACTGCCAGCAGTGAGCAGGACACGCACGATGCAGTGTCGAGAGCACGGGGTATGCCGCACCATCTAAACGGCATCTGACATTTTTAATAACACAATTAAACAAGAATTAAAATAAACAGCAGCAAAACAGTGGGATGTTGCTCTGGAAGTAGCTTTAATGAATTTGAAAACAAGCAAGCACTTTTTTTTTTTTTTTTTCCACCAGAAGAGGCAAAACTGTATTGAAGAAGAAGCACTAGCAGCGTGTAAAAGTGATCACAATGGAGCAAATGCTTGTGAATGCCTCCCAACCCATCAATCACGCTGCCTCCCAGCCCCACCACACCACTACCCCACCTTCCACGCGCTCCCAGACAGACATCCATCCACACGGCACAGCAACCCAAGATCCCCGAGTTTCTGGAAAATAGATTTAGCCCTAATTTTTGTGACAGATGGAGTTGATAGTCTCAGGATGAAAAAAGCGCCAGTTTTGACAGGCAGCAGATACCGATGCCCCTTGTGGTCGGAGCCGACGTTGCTCTGGAATTAAGGTAGCACTACAGAGAAAGGCAACGGGCAAATGCACCAGTACTTATTTTGTTATGCTCCTCTCGTTGTGCCTTAATATGTATACTTTCGTGTCTACTTCCTTAAAAACAAAGCAAAGGGAGCGTAAAAGGTGGGCAAGGCGTCAGCAGGGTAGCTTTCTTTCAATGAAAACACATCTCATACTCCTAACTAGCAGATTTCAAACTTTTTTTATTTTTTTTTGTCCTATCACAAATGACCAAAGCACTACACTGAGATCCACCGTATTTCGGTCACGGGCGCCTTCGTCGCTCGGCACCCCGCACCACGCACACCAAATCTCGGCAGGGAGCTGAGCTGAACGTGCCTACAGCCGGCGGGGGTGCGTGAGGTGGGGAGGGAGCCGCAGTACTGAAGGCACGGCAGCAGCAGTACTTACATGGTTGCAGCACACCGCTAGCAGAGGCAGCTTTGCTCTCCCGCCGCGTACTAACGCACCGAAAGCAGGAGATCCGATCCCTGCCCGGACTGCAGCAAGAACAAAGTCGGTCTCACCCCTAGCCGGGTCCTGCTCTGCCCTCACGTGTATCAGGGGGAAGTTTGGGTGCACACAGCGCCCGGGCTAAAGACTCATTTTTTCCTTTTTTTTTTTTTTTTTTTGTCTTTTTCCTGCTCTTGTGAGCAGCGGGTCGAGCATTATCCCCGCCCGAGCCGCCCGCAGACCCAGGCCGCCGCCGCGGTGCGGTGCTCCGGGGAGAGCCCCGGGAGACACCGGGCAGAGGGACCGGGCAGGGACCGGGAGAGCCCCGGGAGAGCCCCGCCGCGGCCGATCCGCGCCGCCTTAACGGGAGGAGGGGCTCCTCGGGGGGCTGTCACTCTCCTTAAGCCTTTCCTTTCAAGCTTTGAATGTGAGCTGCCCTCCAGCCCCCCTCTCTCCTTCCCTCCCTCCAGTAGATCGTAAAGAGAGGAGGGAAGAGAAAAAAAAAAAAGGGGGAAAAAAAAAGTTTCAACAACAGGCTGGACCAATGGCAAGTCGCAAAGCTGGGAAAGGGGGCCGAGCGAAGGGAGAAAAAAGTGGAGAAAAGGAGAAAGAGAGCGAGAGAGCGCAGGCTGGGGGGATGTGTAAAAGAAGAAGCGTTGCTAATTTTTTTTGTTTGTTTGCTTTTCCATGCATGCATAATGAGGCCTAATCAGAGCACGTTGCTGCTGCTCGGAGGGCACTTTTGTATTTAAAGCCTTGCAGCGAAAAAAAGATCCACAGACGGATCCGCAGCGCGGCTCGCGGGGCTTGTTGACAACAGAAGCAGCATCAGTCGCCCAGAGAGAAAGAGACCCCGAAGCCTGCCTCCCTCCCCCGTGCTGTCTAACGGGGAGAGACATTTCTTCTCCCGGCCACCCGAGAGCGCGACCCGCGCCGAGCGAGAGCCAGCGAGCGGCGCCGGGACCGTGAATGGGATCGGAGCGGCTGGCATGTGCAGCGATGCTGCGAGCGGAGAGATAGAGGCTCCCGAGGAGGCGGCGGCGGCAGCAGCGGCCGGGCACTTATTTCGTGCAAAAAAAAAGAGGAGGAAAAAGAGAGAGCGAGGCAGAGCCAGGGAGGCACGGCGCCGCACGAGGAGCGGGGCGGCAGCACCATGAGCAAGCCCGGCGCGTCCTGCAAGACCCCGAGCGCAGCCCGGAGCCGCTGCCCGCCGCGCCCCCGCCGGCGCTGAGTGCCCGCCGCGCCCCCCGCCCGTCGCCCAGCCGGGAGCAGCGGCTGGGGGGGCTCGGGCCGGCCCCGGGGCCGCTTCCAGCCGCGGGGGCTGCAGAGGGCCCGCCGGCCGCGCGGATGGATTGATGCGAGGAGGGGACCTCATGCGCACGGTCGGCAGGAGCTTCGCAAACTTTCCCACCGGCGGCAGCTCCTTCTCCTCCTCCTCCTCCTCCTCCTCCTCTTCCTCGTCCTCCTCCTCCTCCCGCTCCTTCCCCTCCACCACCACCTCCTCCTCCTCCTCCTCCTCCTCCTCCTCCTCCTCGCCTACCAGCGCCTCTCCCCCGCGACCCCGCGGCCGCCGCCCGCGATGCTGGCCCGGCACGGCGGCGGCGGGGGGCTGTGCTGGCCGCGGCCGGCCGCCTGGCTGTGCGTGGCGGCGGCGCTGGGCGCCGTGTGGCCGCCGCGGGGCTCGCTGGTGCAGGGCCGGCGGCTGATCTGCTGGCAGGCGGTGCTGCAGTGTCAGGGGGAGCCCGAGTGCAGCTACGCCTACAACCAGTACGCCGAGGCGTGCGCCCCGGTGCTGCTGCAGCAGCCGCCGCCGCAGCCGCCGCCGCAGCCCCCGCCGGCTGCGGGCGCCGGGGACGTGCCGCTGGGCGCCGCGGGCTCGGCCGCCTCCCGGCGGCGCTGCCCCAGCCACTGCATCGCGGCCCTCATCCAGCTCAACCACACCCGGCGCGGCCCGGCGCTGGAGGACTGCGACTGCGCGCAGGACGAGAACTGCCGCGCCACCAAGCGAGCCATCGAGCCCTGCCTGCCCCGCACCAGCTCCGCCGGCGGCGCGGGGGGCGGCGGGGGCGGCCCCGGGGGTGGCCCCGGCCCCGGCCCCGTCGGCGGCGGCGGGGTGATGGGCTGCACCGAGGCGCGGCGGCGCTGCGACTGGGACAGCCGCTGCAGCCAGGCGCTGAACCGCTACATGACCTACTGCGGGAAGCTGTTCAACGGGCTGCGCTGCACCGCCGAGTGCCGCGCCGTCATCGAGGACATGCTGGCCGTGCCCAAGGCCGTGCTGCTCAACGACTGCGTCTGCGACGGGCTGGAGCGGCCCATCTGCGAGTCGGTCAAGGAGAACATGGCCCGCCTCTGCTTCGGCGCCGACAGCGGCAGCAACGGCGCCGGCAGCAGCGGCGGCTCGGACGGCGGCCTGGAGGAGTACTACGACGAGGACTACGAGGAGGAGCCGAGCCAGAAGGGGAGGGACGAGGCGGAGGACAATGCGGGCGCCGAGCCCGGCTTCCCCATGCAGGCGGACAGCGCCGGGCGGGCCGCCGCCGCCGGGGCCCTGCTGGCCTCCATCTTGCTGCGGCTGCTGGCCGGCCTCTAGCCGGCACCGCGCCCCGAGCCGAGCCCCGTGCCTCCTTCCCTTCCCTTCCCTTCCCTTCCCTTCCCTTCCCTTCCCTTCCCTTCCCTTCCCTTCCCTTCCCTTCCCTTCCCTTCCCTTCCCTTCCCTTCCCTTCCCTTCCCTTCCCTTCCCTTCCCTTCCCTTCCCTTCCCTTCCCTTCCCTTCCCTTCCCTTCCCTTCCCTTCCCTTCCCTTCCCTTCCCTTCCCCTTTTTCCCTTCCCTTTTCCCTTTCCCGTGCCTCCCCACCCGGCTGTGCACTGTGCAATGCGGCCCGGCCCGGCCCGGCAGCGGGGGGAAGGACTGCGGGCCTTGAGCAGCAGTGGGGGCGTGCTGGTCGTTGTGGTGACTTTTCCTTTTTTTTTTTTTTTAAAAAAAAAAAAAGCATTTTGACATGAAGGTTAGAAAGAGGTGAGCTACCCACACTCGCTGCCAAAGCCGTTGCCGTGCTGGTTAAACAACTTGATTAGCATTCACCGAGTATCGCTGCTCGCGGTGCGGGGATGCCCGAGAGAGGGTTACGCTGCATCTGCCGCTAATTGAGTGTAAGGAGATAACAGCCCGAGTAAGTCCGGTGGTTTACAGCACTCCCTCTTGCACACACGTCTTCCTTGTAACAAAAGCTTGCCAGCAACCGTCTCTTCCTCTTTAACCTAGCGCTATACAAAAATGATTTTTTTTTTTTCCTCAGAGTTGTTGGCTATACTGAACAATGCAACTTTTGTTTTAAAAGAGCTCTGCACTGCCATCTTTGAAAGACACTTTTAAACTCAAGAACATGTATGTACAAATATCCTGAAAAGTTATATTGCCTCTTGTCATATCAGGGTGCTGACCTCTGGTAAATCTTATATAAAAAAAAAAAATGTATTTAAAACTGGGATTTGTTACCAGTCGCTCTTCTTTGTATATACAATTTTATAAATTGTATGCCATGGGGATAATTTATTTAAAAAAAAATAAAAAAGTTTTAAATCCACATCCTATTTGCCAGGTAATTACATTTGCTATTATTTTCTGGAAAGGTACAGATTTCTTTTTATGTTTAAAGGGATACCAGCAACAAAGATTCACTGAAGTATTCTGTAGAACATCAAATGTACAGTGTATTTTATAGATTTGAAGTTAACTTTCTTATTTGGAGAGACTTTATGAACACTGTAGAATTGTATAAACGCATTTCCAAGCTGCCTTAAAACTTTGTATTTTTTATAGAAGGCATAAAAAAAGGCCTATGTTTTAAATATGTACGGCTTTTTGTATTTTCTAAACGTGTAAATTAGTAAAGAAAGAGCTTTAAATAATGGATGTGGTGAAATTGTTTTCCAGGGACACTTGAACTCTCGGCACCCGAGGTTGGATGGGGGGGCGGGAGCGAGCCGCAGAATAACAAACCAAAAACAATCAAACAAACAAGAATCTCTGTCTGCCTGTAATACGTTACATAGATGTAAATTACTGCTATTCTCACGTTAATGAATAATTACATGCGAGAAGTAAATACAGCTTTGAAAATACTACTTTAAAAGAGTGGTTGATTTTATAATGCGTTGGCATGGCAACGTGCCGGTACTGGAAGAGAGCGAAGCAATTCAAGGACGCTGCTCCTGCCCTGTACGTAGGATTAGTTCCCCGTGCACCACGCTTTCTCCACGAAGTGGAGGCCTGTTGCTCTTGCTGACACGCTCCAGGATGCTCCTAGCCGCACAAACCAGCGGACGGTGGGACATGCACAGCGCAGAGACAGACAGGCTGCGGGCAGGTGGTGGTGCGTCCATCCAGGGAGCTGCAACCAAATGCACGGAGGTTTGCCGCTCAGCCTGCCTTCTGCCACAGCAAGGAACATGAAAGTAAACAAACTGGGGGGATCTGCAATTACCAGATCTTGTAATACTGTTCTTAGGAGTTGCTTTGCTTCGTACTGAAGCCTGGTTTGCTGCCAGAGCTACTGATCTACACTCAAACGCCCTTAGATAAATAATTACACTCTTAAGCTGTGTCGAGTGCTGATACACTTGACCTTGTAAATAGAAATGTTTGCAGTAGGAATAAACTCCAGCATTGGAAAATCTTTTAAACATTAACACAAAAGAGAGAGCTCAGTCCTCTGGGGATCAGAGTTTGGACTGCGTCAAGCGAGGCACTCACGCGCACACACACACACACACACACACACACACTCACTCACAAAAGGAAAGGGGAAAAAAAAAAGAAAGGGGAAAAAGTTTATTTATCTTCTATTCATGGTGTTTATTTAAAGCTTTTCGTTTTAAATGCCGTGATTGGAACGCAAGTCAGAAGTTTAAAAGCTACCACAAATAAACTTTGACTGAGGGGGCGACAGATTAGCAAGATAGTGTCTTTTTCATCTTACCAGAGCTCGACAGAGGGCAAATCCACATCTGCCTGTTGTATAAATCAACAAAATTATAAATCCCCACTCCTGGATTAGTTTTTTCACTGACAGATTATTTTACTGTCTCTTTAGGGTGTGAATTTGATTAGGTTGCCCGGAGATAAATGTACACAGGCACACGTGGACACACAAACCCACCCACAAATAGCTGTGATTCCAAGCGAGTGTATGAGTATGGTGTGTGGCTATGATCCGAAGTTCGTTTTTAAAGTCATCTGAATGGTTGAGTAAACTTATTGTTAAAAGAAAGCTGGAAACGTTGTTTCTTCAGGAAGAGAATGGAGTATTTGGGTGAGACTTGTAAATAGAATCGGCTTTCTTTACAAAACACTGAGTGTTTTGTCTAGGGATGATCTTAAGTATTTTCTGCAGTTCTTCAGGAGATGCTCAGAGACTTATTTTCAGATTGTCAACATTTTGTGCCCACAAGGACTATTTAACTCGTTGTTGATGAAAAATTAAGTTCCAGCTAAAAGCCTTTATCTTTCTTCAGCAAGGAGCAAAGACATTAGCACTAGAAAAGGACTGATAATTAACTGCTACAATAAACTCAAGACTTGATTTTACAGGCTCCTGTCAAAAGCATCTGCCCGGAATAAATCAACACCGAGCACCACTGGGGAGGGAGGCATCTATGTGCTTCCTTCCCCACAGAAAGTGGATTGTTTTAATTTAAATAATTGTACAATAAATACAGCTGAACTAATCCTGTCCTATGAGCTCCTCCCCGTGAGGAGATAACTCCGTGGGTTTTGTCACGTTGTCAGAGGAAAGCACGATTTCCAGGAGGAATGGCTGACTGTATTGGTATGTGTTCCAGCCTACAAAGCCTCTGCAGATGTTGATGTCCATCAAATTCATATTTCTTTTGCCTGATTTTGAGACAAATGGAAATTCTTGAAATGTCAGGGGATGTAGCAAGGACAGTTTTAAATGAGGAAAAGACTTGACATTCTCTGACAGAGGGAGATTTTCCACAGGAAGGGAAGTTCTCATCTGTATGGATATTTGAAAGCGCTCTTTGCCAAGGTCCTGTCCAGCCAGTCTCTTCTGGGGGGAGAAGGAGCTCTCTACCATTCCATGTAAAATAATCCAGTAGGTTCTGCTCCCTTTTTATTCCCAGTTACCAGGTTTGAATTCTTGGTGACAGTTTATTTGTCTTTGGAGGCACTTCAGTGACAAATGTTTAAGGGAGTGTGGGACAATGGTGGAGAACAAGGAGGCAGTTCATTGAACTGACAGTGACCATACAGTAAATAGAGGGAGATTCAAGCTTCACTGATCACCCAAGCGCACAGCAAAGCTTTTGTATGCCATCACAATGGACATAACATAAGGTCTCTGTTTATTTTTAACAATATGTACGGATATATACAGGCAGGCATAAGTAACTTTCAAAATTATTATGAAACAAAGCCCTACAATGAGGGAAAGGAAAGATCTGGTTTGGCCAGCTCTTTTACAGTCTCATTGGAAAGCCTGATGGATTTTAGTTGCAGCCCTGTCTCCACTGCTTCTACGAGCTGCCAGGGTACCAGAAATTTCACTGTGTGTATAACGTGTATGTAATGAATAGGGGCGCAAAGGTGACTGCAGACAACTTTGCAAGTGTATGACAAGAAATTTCTTCTCAGTGAGATCCAAAGCCATTCAGAATTTAATGAATACTAGCTTTTGTTGTTGTTGTTGTTGTTGTTTTTGTTGTTGTTGTTGTTGTTGTTGTTTCAAGTGCCCTGGAAGAGGGTGAGAGGAACTTCAGAGCAGCCAAGGTGCATGTAGAGACAGTTGTGGGACACAAAATCATCACCAACTGAGTCATGGAAAACACTGCTTGAGGGACCGAGTTGCCCTGTGTTTTCACTGTCACTAAAACAAATTCAGACCTTCGGTCGATTTTGTTCCTGTCCCAGTAATAACACCACACACTGCCATGCTGCCTGTGATAGCCCATTGGAAGTCCTCTGGAAAAGTAGGTACCTTTGCAGGACAAAACATTTTCAAGTGGGAAGAGCAGTGCTTCTGTGTGAGATTTCAAGTCTGTGATACAGGTTGGTAAGCAGTAAAGTCGAAAGTTACTGTATTTTACTTGAGGCATTGGCTGTGGTAGACAGTTGAAAAGGCTCACATTGACTGTCTGAATGACATAAGTAATGCGCTATTAGCATAAATACTTTCTAAGACATCCATTTAATCAATTTCTTAAATAACAGAATGATCTACTACAAAATAGTGGACTGTATACACTATATTTTGGCACAAAGATGGTCATTCTCCCACTAGTAACCAGGGGCTCTAAATAAATGATTTCAACAATGTTTTATTAAAGGAGGACAAGAGCCCTCGAGCTGCATTAATCGGGGAGAAGTCGAGTGGCACTTTTGTTATGGAAATGTTAAACACATAATAGTTCAGGCAAACAATGTGGAGCCACTTCATTCTCTCAGCCATGCTGACACCTCTTAAAGAGGAACTGCAGGGAAGGATGTGGGAAAGATTTGCTTTCTGAGGAAGCTTTCAGCTAATATTTTGGATATTTACCTCCAAAACTCAGGCAGCACAAATGTAACTGAAGGGCATAAAAATAAAACAATAAAGGGGGATGATTTATGCAGCTACTGCTAGTAATCAACACTTGGTACCCAACTTCAAGACAGCCATTGACAGAAAAGAGCTTTTTTTAAAAAAAAAGTTTTTCATGAATTTATTATAAGCCAAGTGGATATTAATGTAGAGGGTGAAAGTCCTTGAAGAGACACTCTTGTAAACTGAAAGGGTTATAGTGCTAATATTATACCTCGAACGTACAGCAGGGAGGGGAAAGAGGAACAACCTGGAATTGTCCTAGAAGGGAATACAAGTACAGAGGTTTAGCAGGAGGGGCAGAGGTGACATGTTTGTAGTAGGCAATCCAGAAATACATTAATGAAGTGGTACACAGCAAAAACATTGCTGTGTAAAGGGAGAACCATGTTCAAGAGTAGTTATTTTGAATAGGTGAGAGGAAGAAAGGATGAGGAAAGGAGATAACTAAGGTGTAAAGAAGGTTTGGAGAATGAACTTCTTGCTAGTAAGATGAAAGAAAAAAAAAAGATAAGTTAACTGAGACACAGAATGAATATGACAGAGGGATATAATAATAATAAATAATAATAGTATTAATAATAGCTAGCCAGCTTTAATAATGTTGTCAGGGCCAGAAAGGATAAGCAATGTGGTAGTAAAGTGAATATTCAGCTTTGGAGAGGATATTTTCCCTGCCTTCAGAGGCCAGAGAGGAAATTTACTGTGATGCTCTTCTTGGTTCATAATGCTGTACTTGAACACTGTGCCTAGCTTCCAGACAACTCCTCCCTCAAGTTCAACAATATCATGAAACTGAAAAGAGGTGAGTGGAAGTCTTGGAGGATGGCTACGGTTTATGACCAAAGAGGAAAAGATGAGGGATCTGAGCATTAGGCTGGCCAAGAAAAGGCCATCACTAGCCCATAGCTACTGAAATGGGAGTTAAAAAGGCTACAGGGCTACTCATCTCGGGTAGCGATAGATGTATGAGAAGGTTCAGCATGCACAGATTGTGGCTGGGAGGTTTGGACTTCTCATTCGGAAGAACTTCACCAGGAGGGATAGCATAGCACTGGGACAGGATTCCCAGAGAAATTCTGGAACCTCTATCCTTAGAGATTTTCAAGACTTGACTGGACAGAGCCCCAGCTGCTTTCATCTACTGTTGGCTGTAATGCATCTTCTAGTAGATGGCTGGACTAGAGGGTCTCCAGAGATCCCATCAATATAACTTTGTAATTCTACGATTCTAATGTTGGTATGACAATGGGAAATCCAAGACCCTCTTTCGCTAGATCAGGCACAGGAATACATACAGCACACTTCAGCAGAGACAGTAATGCAGGAAGGTTGGAGAGAGGAGGTGGTGGTTACACATTTCCACAGGGCCAGAGTGGGTAGGAGATAGTTGGGAAGGGGTCAATGGAAGTTTAAGAGGAGAGCAGAGACCAAAACATATCATGTAGTACAGGACCTGGAGATAAGAGGGAAGGGAGGAAGTATAACAGTAAGGAAATACAGAAATGTAAAGGAATGTAATGA